AAAAAGAAAAGCCAAAAAGAAAAAGAAAAAAGGAAACGTCACACTTTTTTCACCGGGTCTTGGTGTTGGTGCTGTTGCTTTCCGGCACAGAGGTCGGAAACAACAGCAATCATGACCGGAAAGCACTGAGGCTTCCAGTCCTTGAGAACTGGGGATGAATCCAGCTGAGGCAGACTGTGCTCAACTGGAGTAACTAGGGTTGGTGTCATTGCATTCCGGCACTAATGTCGGAACCAACAACAACAACGTCGTGACCGGAATCTTCGTTCGGTCCGTAAAACACTGGAACTAATACAGGAACTGCATGGAGATGCTAAGAAAGCTTGGAACTGAGTATGAGGTAGCATGGGATGGTGGATCCAGCTGAGGCAAATCAGCTGGAGGAACTGGGGTAGGTGTTGTTGCTTTCCGACACGAGTGCCGGAAACAACTACAACAACGTTGTGACCGGAATCTTCTTCCGGTCCGGAGAATACTGGAAAAGGAACTGCATGGAGATGCTGCTGTGGAATCTTCTGTAAAACTGAGTATGATGTATGATGTAGCATATACTCCAGGCTTGTTCTTCACTAGGTCTTGGTTGAATACTGGGGGCTGGGGTTGGTGTTAGTGTATGCCGGGATGGGGTTGGTGTTATTGCTTGCCGGCACGGATGCCGGAAACAATAACAACAACAACAACAACGTCGTGACCGGAATCCTCTTCCGGTCCGTGAAATACTGGAACTGCATGGAGATGCTGGGGAATCTTCGAAATTGGGTAGGATATATGATATAGCATATACGCCAGGCGTTGTTCTTCACTAGGTCTTGGTTGAATACTGGGTGTTGGTGTTATTGCATTCCGGCACGGATGCCGGAAACAACAACAACAACGTCGTGACMGGAATCTTCTTCCGGTCCGGAAAATACTGGAAAAGAAACTGCATGGAGATGCTGAGGAATCTTCTTTTTGAAACTGAGTATKATGTATGATGTAGCATATACTCCAGGCGTTGTTCTTCAAAGGAAAGGTCTTGGTTGAATACTGGGGGCTGGGGTTGGTGTTATTGCATGCCGGCACGAATGTCGGAAGCAACAACCATGACCGGAAAGCACTGGGGCGTCCGGTCCTTGAGGACTAGGACTGGAGCCAGCTGTGGCAAAGCACTCAGCTGGAGGAACTGGGGTTTGGGTTGGTGTTATTGCATTCCGGCACGAATGCCGGAAACAACAACAACAACGTCGTGACCGGAATCTTCTTCCGGTCCGTAAAATACTGGAAAAGAAACCGCATGGAGATGCTGAGGAATCTTCTTTTTGAAACTGAGTATGATGTATGATATAGCATATACTCCAGGCTTGTTCTTCGCGAGGTCTTGGTTGAATACTGCTGGGGTTGGTGTTATTGCATTCCGACAGGAGTGTCGGAACCAACAACAATCGTGATCGGAAAGCACTGGGGCTTCCGGTCCTTGAGAACTGGGAATCCAGAGTAACTGGGATTGGTTGAATACTGGGGGATGGGGTTGGTGTTATTGTTTTCTGGCACGGATGCCGGAAACAACAACAACAACGTCGTGACCAGAATCGTCTTCCGGTCCGGAAAATACTGGAACTGGATGGAGATGCAGGGAATCTTTAAAACTGAGTGATATGTAGCATATACTCCAGGCTTGTTCTTCAAGGTCTTGGTTGAATACTGAGGGATGGGGTGGTGTTATTGCTTTCCGACACGAATGCCGGAAACAACAACAACGACGTCGTGACCGGATTCTTCTTCTGGTCCGTAAAATACTGGAACTGCATGGAGATGCGGAAGATACCATATCACGGTGCTTCKGGAGGAACAGGGGGATCCACCAGCTGTGGCAAACTGCTATCACCAGCTGGGGGATACCGATATACTTGTAGTGGTCTTGGTTAG